TTAGATGTAGTAAATCTGTACACCAATGTAACCAGTACCTTAGGAATCAAGGCTTTAAATTTTTGGATTGAAAATTACAGAAATGAAATTGACAACAGGTTTACAAAAGAATTTTTACTGGAAGCCACCGAATTAGTTTTAAAGAACAATGTGTTTACTTTCAACGACAAATATTTTCATCAAGTGAAAGGTACAGCCATGGGTACAAAAATGGCCCCTACATATGCAACACTTACCCTTGGATACCTAGAAGAAGCACTATTTGAAAAAGCTAATGAACAGTTTGATGCAGAATTTTGCGAATATCTTAAGAGAAACTGGAAAAGATATCTGGATTCTTGTTTTATTATATGGAAAAAAGATGATTCAGATTTGAACATTTTAAATGATATCTTAAATGAATTAGACCCAGACATTAAATTTACAATGGAAAAAATTTCTACTCAATGACCATTTTTAGATGTATTAATCTGTAGGGAAAACAACAAAATTGCAACAGATATATTTTATAAGAGTACTGACAATCATCAATATTTGCATTTTGGATCTTCCCACCCGCGATACATTAAAAGAGCAATACCTTACAACCTAGCCCGACGAATATGCACAATAGTAAGTGAGGAGGAAACCAGAAATCAACGTCTGGATGAATTGAAAATATATCTCACAGACCAACATTATGCTTTAAGCTTAATCAACGACGGAATCAGAAAAGCAAAGGAATTAGACAGAGAAGAATTAATTAATCCAACTCCTAATGATGAGGAAAATATTAAAATATTACCACTAGTCACAACTTACAATCCTAAAAACCCTAATATAACACCTATCGTTCAAAATCTGAACGAAATTCTCAAAACGGATGAAGAAATGTCAAATGTTCTTTCAAAATTCAAATTTATAAACAGCAAAAGGCAGCCCAAAAACCCCAGAAGAATACTCTGTCCTTCCAAAATAACGAAATCTACAAAATCCGTGACAAAGTGTAAAGGGCTTGGTGTAAAATGCGGAGGATGGAGTTTCCACAATGACTCCAAAATGGAGGGTCAGAGGGTGTAAGGGGTGGAGCTTCTTGTGTCAATTTTAATACATTTGCCCGTTTTATCTTTCAATCATTTTAGAAACTGAATACTACTGGGTTGCTTGTAGAGCTATCCATCAGTGATAAAAAGTGCCTGTCAAAATTAATTATTGAGTCTAGATACCGGTATGTCCTAAAAATTTTATTGAAGATAATTATGTCATGCATTACACATTGCAGATCACTTTGTCTGCAAATTATCAACAATTCAAAAGTATATTTCACATTGCTGTAAAAGCTGCAAAAGCTTCTGTATATGTGTAAACCACAAAAAGAAGATACATTTAAATGACAACAGAAAATGAAATTTAGCAACAAAAAGAAAGATAACATGACTTTCAGTTATATCAACAACAAATGAGGGGACAAATTTGCTTCTGTACACTAACATATATTCTTTTTTATCTTTCCCTAGAAGTTTTTAACATTTTGTCCTTCGGATATTTGATACCTATACTAATAAAATCTGTCAAGACCTCATGGGTTACTGCGAGATAGCAGTGTCAATCAGACAGTTTCCATTGCACTTATCATCTGTTATATCGCAAAACAAAATTTAAATCAAAAGCACAGGCTGCATGCCCCTCATTTGTTTCTCATATCTATAGGTCATTGCGATTCTCCTGTTGTTGTTTCTTTATCATGTTGCTTGTTTCTCATTCTTTTTAGAGCAATAAAATAAAATAAAATAAAAAGAGTTAATGGCCAGAGTTCTCTAATAAAACAATCAGTTCATTTACTGAATCTATAAACTAATTATTTTTAATTTTTCTAAAATGTTTTTGTGTGCAGTAGATAGTATGGATAATACATGTATTTCTGAGTAAATAATGACATCACGGCACATTCCCAACATCGGACAGTGTCTTTGACAGCAATCAGATATTTCAGATGATAATAGGTGTTTTTTAATGAGACCGATATTCATTGACACCTTTATTTACATATCAGTCTTTTTACATATATCTGTATATAATATCACCAAAAGATAATAATTTTGATGCTATTCTGTTTCAGTCAGTCTCTGTTATCTTTAAAAGTTAAAAAATCAGCAAAGCTGTTCCCCACATTGAAATGTGGTGTTCATTTTTGCTTTTTACGTTTCCTGTTTCTTTGTTTCTCAATTAGTATTTTATGGACTTTATAAACAAATGTCATCAGATACTGTCAAATGGTCATCACAAAATCAGGTTCGGAGATATAACTGAGTTTCATTCCCTCAACTTCAATGGATTTTTAGCTCACCTGAGCCGAAGGCTCAAGTGAGCTTTTCTGATCACATTTTGTCCGTCATCCGTCCGTCCGTCCGTCTGTCTGTCCGTCTGTAAACTTTTCACATTTTCGACTTCTTCTCAAGAACCACGGGGCCAATTTTGACCAAACTTGGTACAAAGCATCCTTGAGTGAAGGGGAATTTAAATTGTTAACATATAGGGACATATCCCCTCGCAAGGGGAGATAATCAAGAAAAGACAAAAATAGGGTTGGGTCATTAAAAAATCTTCTTCTCAAGAACCACTGGGCCAGTCAAGCTGAAACTTATGCGGAAGCATCCTGGTATAATGTAGATTCTAAATTGTTCAAATAATGACCTCCAGGGGAAGGGCGGGGCCACAATGGGGAATCAAAGTTTTATATAGAAATATATAGTAAAAATCTTTGAAAATCTTCTTCTCAATAACCACTGGGCCAGAAAAGCTGAAACTTATGTCGAAGCATCCTGGTATAGTGTAAATTCTAAATTGTTCACATCATGACCCCCGGGGGAAGGGCAGGGCCACAATGGGGAATCAAAGTTTTACATAGAAATATATAGGAAAAATCATTGAAATTCTTCTTCTCAAGAACCACTGGGCCAAAAAAGCTGAAACATATGTGCACATGGAAGGATCATGGGGTAGTGTAGATTTTAAAATGTCTAAATTATGATCAGTGGGGTAGGGTGGGGATGCATTATGTATAACAAGGGGGAAATCTGGTAAAGAACAGAATGGTCAAAGCTTCTCAGGTGAGCGATGTGGTCCATGGGCCTCTTGTTTTTTAATTGCTTGGGTAATGTAACACTCTAACACATTCTCACGGGGTATCAGAAAATGAGATGACAGATCTAATAAGCACGTGCTAAATTTACAACAAGCACTATGCTCTACCTCCTGCATCATCTTACAAAAGAGACTCCACCCCTTGCACTCTCTGACACCCATTTTGGAGTTTTGTGGAGACTCCATCCTCCGCATTTTACAACAAGCCAGTGTAAAGATCCGCGATGTGGCACATGTTCTGTTTTAAGAGAAGGAACATCATTTACTTTCAAAGGAAAAGATTTCTTTATTAATTCAGACATGACATATGAGTCCAAAAATTTAATATATGTTATTGCTTGCGGAAGATGCAACCAATTCTACATCGGTGAAACGGGGACCACATTGAGAGCCAGAATTCGCGTGCATAAGCAGCATATTCAAGTTTCTGAGTACCGTAAGATCAAACTCAGCGAACACATTGATAGATGCGGACAAGGACAATTTAAAGTGTTCCCTTTTTATAAACTTTTTCAAGACAATATAACATAAAGAAGAGAAAAAGAGAAATATTTCACTCAAAAATTTAATCCCAGTCTTATCAGTTTGATTTAATTTGATTTCTGATAAAACTTTCACACAGAGTGTAACCTTTCGATGTTCTCCGGCTAAGAGTATAAACACATGACGGATTTGGTTTCAAAGGTGTAAACAAACTGCAAGCATTTAATTGCTTGCTGTCAGATTCAATTATAGATAATGATTTTTAAAGTACATTGTATTTAAAAATCATTATCTATAATTGAATCTGACAGCAAGCAATTAAATGCTTGCAGTTTGTTCACACCTTTGAAACCAAATCCGACATGTATATTCTACTCTTAGCCGGAGAACATCGAAAGGTTACACTCTTTCGATGTAACCTTTACAAGTAATACAAGTACATTGTATTAATAGCTTTTTAAGACATTGCAGTCAGGATAAAGAATGCATTTGTAAAACGTCTGAAGATGTTATGAAAGCGCTAACGTTTTAATCTCTGTTGCCTTTTTTATTTTAATTTTACCTATATATATATATATATATATATATATATATATATATATATATATACAGTCCCTGAAACGTTCTACTATCCCACTTGAACGGTGAACGAACGCAGAGCGAACGGTGTGTGAACGATGTGCGAACGCTGAACGCAACTTGCTGAACGATGTGTGAACGGAGAACGGTGAGTGAACGCAGAACGCGAACGGAGCGCGAACGCGAGCGGAAAGTGAACGGTGAACGAACGGTGAACGCAAGATGAACGATTTATTCGGAATGCCTCCGATCTTTTCCTTGCATTGAGATTATTCTATTATTCTAATTTCGGGGTCTTAAATATAAATAAACAATAAATAAAATAAATAAATTAAAAAATACATGTAAATAATAAAAACAATTTTGTTCTGTATACATACACGTACCTATGTTATAAATCGAAATTTTTATAACACGATTTTATTTGCCGTAAAACATGTGAATTTGTTTCCGAACGCGTGTAGATTAAATTTAAAATTAATCTATTTATATAGTAAATATGCTTATTCTTTCCACTAATAAAATAATGTGGACTTCTGAAGATAAAACTACTACTTATAGAATGAATTAATTACATTGTACGCGGTTGAAACAACCATGCATTTATTTCCGTGCCAAAGCAATTCTGAGTAAAATAACGGATTTTTTTTTTATAGACATTGACTGTTATCGAACTCTCGTTTTATTTATATTCTAATGCAAAATATTCTTTATTTATGTGCCTTTTGTATTGTTTTATGACGATTATAGGCTCCGTAAGTCTCGGCACGTGACTTCCGTGATATTGCAAGATTATTTACTTCCGGGCATTTATCATTTATCACTTTGAGCAGATTTTTTTTGAAGAGAATGACAATGGGAATGTGAGGGATACAACTTGTCAGTGTCCTATGGGAGAATTTAAATGTCACCATGTTGCAGCAACCCTACTCTTTGGGTAAGATTAAATAAACACACTTAGTGTGAAATCTTTATGGAATCAGTGGCGGATTCAGGGGGGTTTGGGGGGTAGGGGACCCCCCCCCAATGAATATCTTATCAAACAATGTCATTTTATCATTTTGTTGATTTGATAAGACTCAGTCAGTAATAAACACGAATCCATTGTTCTGTATATCTGTGACAAATACATCAAACCGTACAGGAAATCACTTTCAATTTTACCTAAGACTAACTTTACAAATATTAAATTTGAAGTTATAAGAGAGCAAGCAAAACGGACGTCAAATGTAGCTGGCTAAAACACACCAAATCGGCACCACCCAGGAGAACAATGACAATGGAGGAATGCAGCCTAACTACAGGTACCTGCTTCATTTATATCATTCATGGAATAACTGTCAATTTTTTTTATTTCATGATGTGATCAATCGATTGGCTTGCTTGATAATTTGCATAAACGCCTTCGTCATGAAATCAAAAAATGCGTCAGTTATTCCATAGATTTATATACAAGCGCATGATGCCACCTTTCCACTTGCTACAATTTCCGATTCTTCTCTGTCTTTGTCCCGCCCTACACAATTTTTTTTAACCGCGCTTATCGATGAATTAGTACATTGATGGAGAAAATAAAGTAAGTTAATTATTAGTAATTTTATCTCTGACAAAGAAATTGGAAATGTAAATATTAATTATTATTTGTCAAAGATACAAGTATTTGATTTAATTATGTACATTTGCAGGTTACTATTTTTAAGTGATGAAAATGTTTTAACAACAACAAAAATGAAAAATAAAACCTCATGTCTGTTTGCATCATAATCACTGATTGAAGAAACATGAAATTGTTTAAGTTTGCCTGATTTTCCATAAAACAGAGCACTTAAAAGAGTTGTAGCTGATGAGGATAGATTATTTTTGCGAAAACTCCTTGGGCAGTTGGGGCGGTTCACAGGTTGTTTTTATCTTTCTGAAAATGGAATTCCTTATTGATTATGAGCTTTCTTATTGATGTTTTTTTCCATTGAGTTATTTATTGTTTGATTAAGTTTAACCTTGCTGTTCTGTTGCACTTGAAACTTCTAAATATGAATATAAAATACAGAATCAAGAAGATATTTTTGGAAGGTTGAGAAAATGTTAAAGAATTACTGATGAAATAAAAGATGCCCTTTGAACAGAAAAGCCATTTTGAGCCTTTGGCTAAGACGACCTTAAAAAAATTATGGGAAGAGTACCGGTACTTTGAAAATAAACCAAAAAAATCCTTGTTTTTTATATACATCTTATTGCATGGTATAAAACCACTAATTATTGTGAGGATAAAATGTTTTGGTTTGTAGAAAAAATAATAGCTTAATTTGAAAAATGAATATTACTATCATATTATAATCTTATGTTTCATGGTGGACAAATAATGCATGGATTTCTTCATGCCATGAACCCAATGAAACTCAACTCCCATGATTTCTAGTGATTTTACAGAAGTTCATTAATAGAATTTTTCATATTTTTTCAAGTCATCATTTCATATGAGCACATTATACAGTCATCTTATGCATGAGCAGTCAATAGACCAGAATTCTTCCCCCGAGGTGAAGGGAACAGCTCAGCATGTTCTATTGCACAGTCCAATCGCTGAGGGATAGAACGGTCATAGGCATTTATGCATACTGTAAAATCAATTTAATTTATTGAATACAATTTATTTTAAACTAAACACTGAGTTGGGAAAAAAAATCTTGTCTATTGACTGCTCAGGCATTAAATAGTTTATTACCTCATTCCATTTTTAAATTTAGTATTTATTGTTCACACTTTATATATTGCAGACGTTTCCCTACCTTTATGCATTCAAATCATTGTAAATATTAAAAACTAGATGATCTAAATGATAGATTTTAAGAATTATAGTAAAATAAATATAATGCACTGATCTTTTAATTTTTTATCAATTAAAATGAGAAAATTTCTCTAAAAATAAAATCAAACAAATAGATTTATAAGTTGCCGGTCCAATAGATTGCAGTCTTTTGAGCACTGGTCAATAATTTCTTATGAAATCTTTACATTATAAAATACTCCTTAGAATGTATTTTTCTTTTTTTTTTAAGCTTTGCACTGGATTCTTAGCAAGGAGCCAGAAGTAGAGGCCCTACCAGTGCCCTTGGTTGAGGACCTACTTATTTCTCATGAATATATTCGATCAGAGGAGCCCCTAACATGGTTCAGACAGCAGCTTATTGTATCACCTGAAAAGGTGATACAAACAGCCTTCCTCACTACTGGCCAGATTACGAACGCAAAAAAATGCTATGTGGGCAGAGGTTACGGCTATGATTAATGCCATCGGTGTGCAAAAACGCACTGTAGAGCAAGTTAAATTTAAGTGGAGTAATTTGCAACAAGGAGCAAAGAAAAGCTTTAGTGAAGCTAGAAAAAAAAGCAAATTGACCGGAGGAGGTCCTCCACCAAAGCCGCTTACTGTCACTGAAGAGAAGATCATCGAGATGATGAAAGATCGTCCGAATTTCAGTGGCATTGTAGGCGGCTTTGTGTCATCTGTGCCGGCATTTGCAGGTATGTATTTTTCAATTATCGAAGACAAAAAAAAAGTAAAATCAAAATTACATTAAATCAAATTATACTTCAATCAAATGAAACCAGTCTACTTGTTATGTTTGTTTACATCGTCTGACAAAATTACTCAGGATGATGACGTCACCAACCATTCACATAACACGTGTAATATAAATGATGTATTGTCATATTTACACTGTTCTGTTGTTTTGATTATATCTTAATTTTCTCCTTAAAATGTAAGACTTACTTGAAAACAGCTACTTTAAATAATCCAGCCTGTGATGCAACTAGGCCTCGATGCAATGATGAAGGCTACATCGGTAGGGGCCTACACATGTTTCGATCCTGTACATAGCCTAGTCTTTGAAAACTCTATTATCGTCTATACAGAGAGTATAAAATCGACTTTTCACGTTAATAAAATTAACATCCCATTCAAAACTTTTTAAAAATCCACGTTATCACACAGGAATGTTTGTCAAGTCCGATGTAAACTCACCTATCACATTCTCATTTATAAAGTGACGTCATTAGTGGGGCACCGTATGGGTTGTCATAATATAAATATCTCCATCACATGGGCGTCTGAACCGGGGGGGGGGCTTAGCCCCTCCTCACTTTTTTGCAAATATACCTAATATAGACATAATAAAGGCAATATGCTGAAAGTGGACGTATGTTTAGATCCCCTCCCCTACTTTCAACACCCCATCTTCCTCCGCACGATTTTAGTTTCGTGATGATGCTTTCCTTAATATTCCCTGGTATTATTTTCAAAAGGTTTTATGACTTTCTTTTCTCTTCATTACCTGACCCATTTTCCATTTCCATCTTGGAATTGTGACTTGACCCGGCGAGTTTTCCTTTGAAGTCAAGCATACTGTATCTGCAATACAGAACACTTTTTGTGGGCGTTTCTTATGCAAATGAACAGAAACTGTACTGTATCTGCAGAATATCAACGATACAGTACGGTTTATTTTTATCGATGACGGAAAGCTGAATCTGTATACAGACACAAAAATCGTTCAATTCCCTTAAAAGCACTGCCAGTTTTTATTCAAAATTTGAAGTGAATTTTAAGAATAAAATTTTACAACGTAAAGTTATTAGTGTCGGATTCAAAAAATTAAGAAAGGAGGGAGTGGGACAGTTCACAAATGATAACTTTGACCCCCCCCCCCCGCAAAAAGTAAAAATAAGTGGAAACTCGTATATTTCGGGGGGGAGGGGGTAGATTTATAACCAACCAAAACACTATGTGGTGCTATCGTTTCTTGTTGATAAATTAAAAAGCGTATGTATACAAGTTTAGCAAAAATCATTTACGAAATTGGAAAAAGAAAATCACACAAGGTCTGAGTTGGGGGCACCAGTGAGTGCTGGGATCCCCTTTGGCTGCTCTACATTTTATCAAAAACATGAAGGTAAAATACTCCTCCTCCCCCCTCCCCTCGCTTTCTTTTAATCTTAATTTGTTTATCAGAGAGATCGACCATGTCCACTCTTTTTCGGTAATTGCGCTTTTCTGTTCCTCATACAAATTTCCAAACAAAAGTAAATCCGCCATCTTTGTTTTTAATGAATAGTAAGCTATTTAATGTACCTCGTATACCTCAATTAAATCTGTCAGTTAAAAGAGAAGTTTAACTAACGTTTAACTCTCAGTTAACTTTCGTGCAACCCATTTAACTTTCCGTTAAATTTAACTAGTGTTAACAGAAAGTTAACGGCTAGTTAAATTTAACTAACGTTCGTGCAACCGAATCCAAAGGGATAATGCAGTCTGGGCAGCCATAAGAAAACTTCGATTCACTGCCTCCAATTTTGGACAAATCATAGCAGCTGCAAAGCGCAATAGGTACAAATGTACATACATTTATATCTGAAAGAACATTTTACTTTAAATTGTACGGCACATTTACAGAGGAAAAATGCAGGATAAATTGCAATATTTTGATGAATTTTAGGGAATATTTAACAGTTATTTAACAGTTGCTTGATCCCATTAATCACATCAGAAAACATTTTTGTATTTGTATTCATTTTAAAGTAGTTTAGGTTAGGAGTAATATAGCTCAAAATTACAATATATTCACTGGAACAAAAGAAAATAACGAAGAAAAACACAAATAAACTATAATTTATGTCCTTGTCCCTCAGGTTGACGACTTCACTGAAGAAGAGACTGTTAAGTGCTTATAACTTAGAAAAGAGGGACCCCATACAGTGGGGCATTACACACGAGCACGTTGCGATGGCCGAGTATTGTAAAGAAGGAGGTGTCTCAGTACTTCCAACTTCATACTAAGAAATATAACAGATTTTGTATTTCAATGATTCCAAAGCAAATGCTTTGAACAGTTAAAGTTGACACCTGACAATGTTTTCCAAGAGGGGGTCAGTTTCAAAAGTTACCATAAAAATGTACACTTTTTCATGCTGTTTCATTATGATATCAATATCAATAATGTCTACCTGTCTATCTTTCTGTAAAATTATAAAATGTTAAATCCATCTAAACCAATTAGACCAATTAAGTATTTAACATGAAATTATAAAGTCTACATGCAAGAGTTGCCTACGTGGTGCAGTGGTTAGATCGTCTGCTCTAGAGTCGCGAAGTAAGTCAATCCACATGTCGCAAGGTTCAAATCTCACCGCGAGACATCCTGCAAATGAGACCGTATAAACCAAGGTCCCTTGTCACAGTAGATGCTGCACAAAAAAGATCCCTCTCTGCTCAATGACCCTGAGTGCTGAGCATATGAGGACAAAATTTGTACATGTAGCTCTGCATCGGCAAGTGGTGGTTTGTCTCCTTGTTTGAAAAAAATCTCAAATTATGCCAAAATAACAAGAATAAGCAGCTTTACTCTCAGAAAATAAACTTGCCTAAATTTACATCTTTCTCTATCATAATAAGATAATATACAATATTATTTTCATTTTTTTTTATTTTATAAAAGTCTGTTAGGCTGTTAAAGATAGTTCTTAAATTGAAGATTATATGATTTTCTAGGTATATGGCTTCATGAGACAGGGATTTTAGGGGCTTCTCCTGATGGCTTTGTGCAAGGAACTTTCAAAGACAGCTTGAATGTGTACCATCAGCAACCTTGTGATAGAATTTCACCTGATATAGTAGAAATCAAGTGCCCTTTCTCAGCAAAGGATATGACAGTAGCAGCCGCATGTACTAGAATCAAGGATTTCTACTTAGGTACTTGAGATTTATTGCCATATATACTGATGAGCTCTAGCTGGTTTATATGTTTGTGAGGTTTCCTCTTAAATTTTTGATTACTTATGTTTTACCATAGATAGCTTGCATCTTTTCAAAGAATATCAATTGAATTAAACATGTTAAATATGGTGATCAAATTCTAATTTTGTGTTACTGTTTCAGTTGCTGAAGAAGATGGAAGTCTAAATCTGAAGAAGACGCACGACTACTGGCATCAGATTCAAGGACAGCTTCATTTATCAGGGACTTGTTGCTGTGACCTTGTCATATGGACTCCACTGGACTTGAAAATTGTCAGGATTTTGAAAGACGACTCATGGGCTCAGAATATTTCAACAATGTTAGATTTTTATTTTTCTAAGTTTCTGCCATCTTTGTCAGAGTGATTGATGATAATACATGTACATCAAGTTATCCAGAAAAAAGGCATGTCATTTTTTTTCATGTATCATGTATCTGAATAATTTCCATACATAAATGGTTGAAATTGCATAAAATATTGATTTTTTCATTTGAACATTTAATTACACTTGTAAATGGTTTTTATGTAGACTTGATCAATTAATCGATAGAAATTAGTTTTTATCAATCAATATATACCATATAAGTGGAAATTTTAACAAGACGCAAAGATAGTGATTTGTCCTTAAAATTTGGTACTTTAGTTTTAGCGACATGTAATTAAAGTGATTTTAAAATGCTCATTAAAGAAGCTATTACAAATAAAATGCAATTAACTTTTAGCGATCTCAACACCCTTGCTAATAATGCCAAAATTAAAACCTTCCTAAAAATATTTTGTATATAGGGTATTCATTAGAGTATTCATTAGAGTATTCAAGGCTACCAGCCCAAAGTCCAATTTTAAGTCGATGTACATGTATTTACATAGATTGGTTCAAGTTTACATCAATCTTCTTGAGACTTCATTTACATATGTCTCTTCTTTTATATAAAGCTAAGAAATACATACTTTGCTTAAGCATTTAAGACATCTAATCCTCCATATTGAATCAAGTTTCTTGTATAATACTCAAAAAGAATATATATAATATTTTACAACGTTTTCTAATATCAGTATACAGATCATGATATTCAATATTAAAAGTGAACTTGATTTTTAACACAGAGAATACCTTTAGGTCTTAATCAAAATTTACATACTCTTTCATTTTGAGGAATATTTCTGTTTTCAAATCATTACTGGATACTCTTAATATGCACACAGCTAACCTGTAATTGGTTTTTATAACTTATGAGATTCAGAATTAAAGATGAAAATATTCTGAAGGTAACAAAAAACATGAAAATTTTCTAAAATTGCTATTCTTTGCATAGTGTATTTTATTGTATTAATATTACTACATCTCTGACTCATTCTCCTGCTCTACCTCATACTTGTTAGCAATCTCTTTAAGGAGAGGAGCCTGAAGATTTACTAAACAGCAGCATAACTGAAATATTTTTGTTGTCATATGTCTGTACTGGGATGGTATATGGCTGAGGATTTCATAGTTTTTAATCCTTTCGTTGGCTCTCTCTACATGAATTCTACTGCGTCCAATTTTATAGCACAGTTTTGCCTCTTCTCTGGTAAAATGAGATTTACTAGACAAAAATGGTGGGATGTTTAATGAAACCCCTGCAGGAAGTTTGTCAAAGATATTGAATCCTTTATCTGCGAGAATTAAATCTCCGGGCTGTAAATGGTCAAGGACTTTACAGTGCTCAACTATGGCAGCATCTGACGTGGATCCGGGATATAAATCAGATGTGAATACAAGTGCCCCATTTGGAGCAACACACGTCACGGCTTTCACCGTATGGCGGCTTTTATAATTGCTGTAAGTAAGAGACTGACTGTTCATATTGGATGGAATGTCTTGAGTAATTTCAGTTGCATCCATGGCAATCCTGGCTGATGTAAAATCCTCAAAGGATTTTGGCATGGATCCTTTGCACTTTAGTTGTGACGGAATCCCAACCGCCTTTAACACACCATCGTAAAAGATCTCATGCAAAACTGAGATAAACGTGTTCACAATATTTGAAACAGTAGAGCGGCTTGTTCCGAACCTATCAGCAAGGTCTAAATCTCGAAAGTTTAATCTCAGTTTCATTAGACATATTAGCAACTGGTCTTCTAGGCCAAAACAGGTTACCTCCCAACCAGCATAGTAGTTGAAGGGTGCCATCCGTCTCAGGACCTGTACTATTATGTTAAACACATCTGCTGGAAAGGATGTGTATAGCAACATCTAAAAAAGAAAAAAAAGTTAAATACTATAAAAATCTCGCAAAGAACAAATATAATTATCAATGGCATACAGACCAAGGAAATTGCTAATGAAAAAAAATTCAATATTAAAGAACAAAAAAAAAACATGTGAACTAGCCAATATTGTTTATGAAAAAAGAAGGATATGGAGATAACGAACAGTATTCAATCTCAAAGTCCATAAAACAATACAAAATAAGAGCAGAGTAAAGCCAAAGACCCATGAAATAAAATGACTGTTTTTTCGCTTTCATTTTTATTTTGCTGAAAAAAATTAAGTACTCTGTCCAGTCATGAAATCTTGTTTTCACAATTTGACACCTACAAGTCACTGTGTAGTGCACAGTACCCACAGAAAATAAGGCACATACAGTAATCCTTTTTGAAAGATAGTCTATACCAAGTTTGGTTGAAATTACCCCATTTGTTCTGGAGAAGAAAATAGAATTTCAAAAGTTTACAAGAGAAACAACTACAATGAAAGACATATACACATAAGCTTGCCTGCACTTTTGGCCAAAAGTGTACTAAAAATGCAAAGTGTACTCAAGCCTCTCAAGGACTATGTGTGGTGATAAACAAATTTACTTAAGACTCATATCACCTAAAAACATCTCATTACACAGTAATATTCAACTTATTTTCTGTGAGCAAGAAATATCCATGAGTTCATGACCATTTGTTCACCATTATTTTTTGTCCTGAAAAATTTATTTAACTTGGAATGATGTCTCAATTATAAACAGTAATATTTACATTTGCAAATGTTTTCCTTTATATAACACTACTGAAAGCATGGATTACAAACTGTCATAATCTCTGTGTGACGTCATAAAATTAAAATAACAGTGGGTTTAAAATTAATATTGATTTAAGAAAAATATTACCTTTTCATTGTCATTAAGGATATCTCTAATGGATTACAAAATATCAGAAGTATCTAAATTAAAAACTGTCATTTTTGGTTTCTGTGTTTTTAGCTTTTTAATTTCTTCCTCCAGTTCTTTAATTTCCTGCTCAAGTTTTTTCAACTGCAAAATGAATAAAGTGAATAAAAGTTCAGCAAAGGGGGAACATGTGAGCAGAACAGAATTTTTACCCTGGGACCTCTTAATAAATAAATAGTCAGACGCTCTACCAACCGAGCAATTCTCCCTTTAAGATTGCAAATCTAGCTCTTCAATAACATTGCATTGCACTAAATGGGTAGATGCATGTCTTCAAGAAATTTAAGAAAACAGGAATAAGGCAGACAGATCAAATGCCGCTGGCCAAATTGTTGTTTTTTACAGCATATGACTAGTGATTTTTTATTATTGTTTTACATTCAGTCTGAGTTTGGCCCAGGTTCTTATTTTGGTCTGGTACTGTTTCTTTTATATTTCTAGGAAAATCCTTCACTGGGGTATGAGACTTGCATGAGACATTCTGCTTGTTACTTTTAGTACCATTCTTTTTATGAGCATGAATTATAAAGTATAGACAATGAATGAAATTGTTTTTCCTACCTGAATTGGTCTTCCTTTGGATGGGAAGACATGTATCATTTGCTGCTACTGGTTGTATAAAATAGGAATGGTCAATTTCTAGAGGTTTGTAAAGATGACTTTCTGCATTATCATAGTCATGGCTTGCTGTCATTGGCAGTGTTGAGTTTTCCTCATTACCTTTATTGTCTTTGGATTTTTTTAACCTATAAAAAATGTATACATATGTTAACATTTAACAATTAAATTAAAGAATATTTGGGACCTTGCATATAAGATGCCCAATTTAGTGACTAAATTTTTGCTACCCTATTGCACAGAAAAAGTAATAACTTGTTTTCTGATAGAAACAGGTACCCACGACATGCCATATCTAATACACATTATGACATCATGTAATGACTTCACCGTCCTCTACTACTAAATTTTATAAGGAACAACAACATGAAAGCTTCGTTGCAAGGGCATACAGAAACAAGATATAAATAGACACTGGATATTCCAAGCATTTATGATATTGCTGCACAAATGTCAACTGTGCAATTGTTTAGTTACTATTTAAAAACTTTTACGTTGAAACAAGGTGAAAATTCACTGTCCTGACTCCAGAGTAAGTTTTGCTAAATTTTTTTTTTGAGAAAGCATATAGGATTTGTGCAGCAATTTTCATTCATTTTTAGAATATTCTTCTCAACATGCTCAATATCATACATTATTCATTTAAATTAAACAGGATATTCCCTTGTGCCAACATTGTTTTCTTGTTGTGTTTTATTACCTTGAATGGAATTTTTTTAAAGAACAGCGACCTCATAGTATGACATCATAATTTGTACTACTTTAAATATGCTGTGTATACTTACACTTTTTTGATATATATAGCTTATAAGTAAAAAAAATTTGAACGCAATGATGCTTCAGAACACAAAATAAATACACACAATATTACCTCTTTGGAGTAGGTACATCAGGAAAGTTGAACGTCTTGTTAAAAGAAAATATTGATGGCCCATTTTCTTTCTTTCCCTCCACAAAATGACAACTACATATTCTATCATTCTCTGTACATTCTCTGTCTGCTCGCCTGAAGATAAATAAATCTATGGTGATTTTTCTTTTACCTATCCTCCATTTTATTTATATTTAAGATTTGAAATTGATATTTATAAGAAATGAGTAACAGTTTAACAGACCTTGGCCATAAAATTGGAGTAACTTGGATCAGGTTTGTTTACATTTTTTTCAACTGTTCACAGGTCTGAATATCTAATAATTCTGTATATCTCTCTTTTTCTCTTTTTACTCGGTAGCGAGTATGCCATATACCTTATATTTCAAGTGTAATTATTTTCAGTATTACTACATAATGTGTTGGAAGTAAAGGCACTGATGTGTACGGAGATGATGCTAATCGGCCAATTAAATCGCATCTATTCGTTATAATTATACTCTGCAAAGGTATAAATATGCACCTACCGGCATCTTTCGATCCACTTCTTTCTTTTTTTGGGGTCGATGGGAAATCTAAACAGACTGCATTGCTGTTTGCCCCCAGTAATATGTGTACATCCGAAAGCAAAACAGTATGGCATTTTGTATGGAACTGCCCGGAAGTCACAAAACGAAAGTGAAAGTAAACGAGACTTACGGAGCCTATTTTAGCTAACTTCTTCATGTATCTGTAGATATTTCCCGGCCATGATTATACTCGGTCAAGATGTTGGAAAGAGGCATTCAAATTATTTGTAATATATTAAATTTTCAAAACTAAATAAGTAATTTTTTATTGAAGAGAGAAATGTACGAGAGAGAGAGAGAGAGAAAGAGAGAGAGAGAGAGAGAACCCCCTCGATTCTCAGATATCTCTTGTATCAAATAAAAATTCTGATTATTTTTCCTAAATATTCCAAGCAGTAAAGGTAATCTTGTTTTTAGATTTACAAGTCCATTTGACAGTAATCATTGGCTTTTATTTTCTATCATCATGTTCACACAGTTCACAGGAATTCCGTGCTAGTAGCGTGCTAGTTCTGTCAATCAAAATAATTCGACTCAGTGGAGGTGTGGAAATCGCGTTTCCCCGAACATGCCGAAGGCAAAGAGTTACTTAGTATTCCAAGAAGTTTTAATATTTTTCCCTATCATTTCTAGATCTGATTTTTGCATTCCTGCAGAAAAAATAAATAATTGGAATATATACTTGGAAGGATTAAGTTTTAAATTAAATTTGAAATATATTCCCTGCCAATTTAAAATACTACTGTCGGCACAAGTTTATTCTAAAATACTATTGTTTAATGTTCGTATTAAGACTTATTTTCTTGTGTTACAATACAAAATAAATATTAATTAAAATATACTGAAAAAAACCAATAAGAATTTTATTTCGGGGGAAAAGGCACCGGGGGTAGGGGGGGGATTTTGAGGTCTTAATTATACTGAATGGCAAACATATATTTAAACATATGTTTAGGTACGGTGAAGGAAGGAATTTTCCTTCTGTAATAATAGACCATTTTAAACAGTTGGTCTTTTCTAAAATTTAAAATCACACCATCAATTTAATTAGCTCTAAAGATATTTGATTAACTGAATATTTGCAGTACTGTTCATAATTCTCAAACCTACTTGTAGTTAGAATACGTGTTACTGTAGTAATATTTTTTTTATGTATTCTTGTCCTGTAAAAGACTAAAAGATTAATCAATATACATTCATTAATAATTTGTCCTCTTTAAAATTACAACAAATTGATACCGTGCGTGAAGCATTTGTACATTGACCTTTTTAAGATTTAATATTTTATCATCGTTCTACATACATGTAGGTACTTAATATATTATTTTCCAGGGAAATTTCATGAAATAAGTAATAGCCGATTTATAATAATAGAAATATAAATATCATAGACAATTTTTGCAATGAAATAATTGTTCTTCAAACACGATATCTAAGTTATTTAATTAAAAAAAACATGTTAATCCTTACCATCAAAAAGATAAGTCCTTTCACTTCGGAGTTCCGAATGACAATGAAGAACGATAAGTGAACGGTGAACGCAAGGTGAACGCAAAGTAAACGGAATGAAGAGCGAACGGTGAACGTTTCGTGAATGGTGAACGCAAGCGCACGGTGAACGGTAAACGCAATACTGTGAACGAAGAGCGAACAGTGAACGCACGCTGAACGAACGGTGAGCGAACGGAAAAATGGGAATGTAGAACGTTTCAGGGACTATATATATATATATATATATATATATATATATATATATATATATATATATATATATATATATATATATATATATATATATATACAAATTTAAACTTTGGATATTCTTTCTATTTTATCCCTATTTATATTTTTGTGAAGATCAGTTGACAATATTTTATTTTTGGAGTTTGTGTAAATACATGTTATGTTAAACAAGGTGGAATTAATGATCATTTCATGAACTTTTCATGACAAAAAAGGGGGAAACATTGTTTTTTGATTAAAAATGCGGAATAACAGAGACTGAATGAAAAAGATCAACATTAACTTTAGTGCATTGCTGTCATTTTCTTTTCTTAAAGAATTAGAAAAAATTAATGAAATCAAAACAAACGATAATATGACCTTAATATTCATAAAAGATGCATTCAGTCTGGGCTTTTCATTATATATTTTTTAGTAAACAGATGCCGAGTGTAACAGAAACATCTGTAAGATTTATGTCCCGCACTTCCATTCCATGTATACACGTAATAACTCATTAACACTTGTCATATTAAAGCAGTTTTCAGTGCCTAAAATTCAAATTGCTTAAAACTTCACAAGACGCTCCGCACTTTGGACTTTGTGACACTGCATATAGGAGACTTCATCTCCAGCATTTTACATCAAGCAATATTTAATTTTTTTTATAACTAATCGCGAAAATCATTATGATTAATTACATCGGATAAAAAGAATATTATACCTTTTTTCTTTTAATTTTTTTTTTAAATATATGTGCAAAACATTTTCATTAAACAACGAGTAATCTACAGACACTTGACCTTAAATGATAGTGTTCAAGTGTGCAGCTAGATTGTGTACTTTAACGTTAATGGGGTAGACCCACAATCAAAGAGCTCATGGCAATATGTATGTAAATCATGCTTCATTTTCACAATCCCCATACAATTTATACCCTTTAAATGAGCTGGCACCATACAAAGGAACTATGACGGTTAACTTAATCACAGATAGACCCGACAAATCTAGAATGCAGTTTTTTAGTGATATATAAATCATTGAATCCAGAACTTTTTGTAGTGTATTGTTTGGGTCTAAGTCATTAACTTATAAGAAATTTACACGAGTCTCCATCTAATTGCTTCTGAATATCGTTCTGTTTTACAATTCACGTACTAGAGAAGCATGGATTAAGGAACAAAACTATTTGTACATTGTTCCTGATGGAGATCGTTTATTCTGCAAATGTGTGACGTCATAATTAGTTTTCCTGTAGTTGAGGAATGTAAACATGCACGTTTACAAATACATAGTGTACATTTATGTGCGTTGAGGAATAAAGCACATTTGAACGCGTGCCTTTTTATTTTCAGAATTTTGTATAAAAGCGTGCTTCTACACGCATCATTTATCCTTAAATTTGAAGCAACATTATAAGATGACTCAATAAAGAACTTTCACTTTTCCATTGCCATGAAAGCTGAATATTAGATTTAATTAGAAGTCTTTCATTGATATATCTGGTCGTCTCTATATGATTTAAAATATCTCGAACTAAATTTGAAAGAAATAATTATTCAAACTGAGTCTTGACACTTTCTTTTCAATGTTCTTATTAAGTTGTTTAAATTTCAATTCCTTAAAAGTTGATGTAACTCTTCACATCTCTAGGGTTTCGGCCTTTTACTTTTTACAGTGTTTTTAAAAACAAACATGAAATAATTTGCCATTGCTATTTATTTCTGACATCGATCTTTGCAGTTAAGTTTAAATTTTAAAGAAATATAAAATTATATCGGACTATTAACGTTTATGAACGAATCACAAAAAATATGCATTTTCTCTATTCAGAGTACATGTAATTTGATTTTTCTTTATTGGAGCCATTCCTTTCCCACCTACAATTACAGTATTACAAACACACCGTGTTTTTCCTTGTGAGGGAACATGAACATGTACACATCCTTTCCTTGAACAATAACTTTTTTTGAAAACTCATTTATTATCAAATTCTATTTAAATTGCCCTCTGAAACTGTGTAATTAGCAGATACAGGAAGATGAACATTCATTAACAATATTGAATCTCTCCTCTAATGTCTATTCAAAATTAAATGTAAATTGATAACCGCTAAATTTAAATATTCCGATAATAGCAAAAATAATTATTATTAGAATTGATTTATGATCTGATAATCAAATTTATAATTGATTATTCTTTTAAAACTTTGTTTCCCTCCAAAACACATCTACAAAGTTTGCTCATAAAGAAAGTACGAGGAATCCTACAGGCACTTCATATTTAATGACAGACTTAAAGTGTGCAGACGGATCATATGCTCTAAATTAAAGGGGTAGTCCCCCAAACGAAGAGCTCAATTCGTTATGTTTCGTGTTAATTTGGTTTTTACGATCTCTATTCCATAACGACCCGTTGAATAGACTGTTACAACACAAAGCGAATTTATCCTGGCCTGGTAGTACAGTTTACTAAAATCCCTGTTTTATCCGTGGATACTGAATGCAAGTAACTCTACAATATTTATTTCCAAAGCACTAACTTCAGATTATTTTTTTTTCAAAAAGCTCTTTTTAGAAGTCAGGTAAATTAACGAGCACTTGACATAAAATTATGATTGATAAATACATTTTAGAATGTGTACTTATCATAATGGATAAGTCTCAATTTTTTTACAATATCTAACCCAAGAAAATATATTATCTTCTCCTTTTAATTATCTCATTTTAATTTGAATCTTTCAATGACTATCAAATAATGCTAGAAGCTATACTGTTTCATATTACAGTATTTATCTTACAAGACAAATCAGATATTTATTAAAATGCGAAATGTAAAATAACACAGGGGTATTCAGTGACATATGGATAAGAATCAGGAGAAAGGTGCAGTGTTACATGTATCTCATGCAAACATATTTGAATTAAGCAATCAAGCAATATAAAAAAAAAATATGTCCGGCTGCCTCCTCTTTATGTTGATAAAACATCTCTCTCTCTCTCTCTCTCTCTCTCTCTCTCTCTCTCTCGTTTTCTGCTTACGGACCTCTACAATACTTTTTGTTTCACAACTACAACAATTATTAAGTTTTAATTTTTTTAAGGGAGCATGATTTAATCGTTTATACTAGTTGTAGGTTATCTTGAAATTGTGAAGGCATATGTGATGTGCACTTCTTATCGTCATAATCAAATAACGTCAGAAAAATGTGAATTCTAAACATGTAGCATTTTTTGGTATTTTTTTATGTAGCAAAATGTAAAACTGCATATGCTCTTCATCGCCATTTCATATACATGTACTCCAATAATTGTTTTGAAGTGGCTTCACTTTAATTTTATTCATGCAGCATTACATGCAATTGATATTTTCTATTATTTTAGAAAAAATAACATAATTTCTAAAAAGAAAAAAAATATGCATTGAAAAAAAACAAGATATTTTTTTTTTTATATTTAGAGCCTATATCTTATGATTTTAAGACAATGTTTTTTTTTCAATTATGACTCGAATAAAACGGAGCAGCACATTTCTATATTTATTGCATGACCAAAATTCGGACTTGAAATCCAAACAAATATTGTATGATAAAATCTTATCCGATGCATTTCAATGAGGTTTTTTTATCCAGACATAAAAAGTTTCTTATTCAGTGAGTATTTATTTGAGAATGGTCATTCATTTCATGGCACTCTTTTTATAAAAATGAAAACTGCAAGTATTGGTCTGTCATGTTCCATGAAGTTCAAAAATTGTAATCAAGCATAGTATTCACCATGTAGACATATTCGGGTGTGCAATATAAATGTAAAAAAGAAGCTTTTGCAGGACTCCTGAGCGAATATACACTATGTCAACGGGTTGTATGATCCAAATATCGAATTGCTCAATTTTAGATGTTCTATAATACGATTTTCTTTTTTCAGAAAACTTTGAAATAGCCCCTGTAAAAAAAATGTATGAATGATTTCTATCCAAACTGAAAACGCATAAATATTTATGACGTCGCACTGTTGATGTTGACACGTCGGAAACAAAGTAGACCGCGTACAAAATATATATTTTTCTTTTCTTTGTCTTAAAAAGTGATAGTCTGTTTTTTTTTTCTCATTTCAAACAACCTTCTGGCTGAAAGTTTTAAAGGACGTCTAAATGAAAGTTGTATAGATTGGGGGATCATTGTTTGTACTGTGGAGGTGCTCAAGGTGCTAGTCTTGTAAATCCAGTCCAACAAATTGCTATGAAACTTAAATAGCATAATAAAAGAAAGCTTTATTTGTGCCAGATGAATCCTACAATCTTGCATTAAGCCACACGCTTCTGTTGAAAACCTTTTGAAAGGGTCAAACGTCTGTTTTTTATTGTAGTCCTTAGAGACGAGATAATTTGATAGCATTTGACATTTCATTGAGGTATACGAATCCTTATTGCTTTTATGAAAATTCTGACTTTTTATTATTCATTTTGAATGACAGGAATTTTCACAAATCAAAAATGTCATCGATATAAATCTTGAAGCAAAGGTAAGCAGTGGTGTTACATATGTACCACAATTTATTTTACATAAATTAAAATTAACCGGTACCCCACGCCTCTCTCTTTTTATTTCTGTCACTCGCTCTAGTTTTATTTTTTACTTCTTTATTTCTTAACTTTTTTTACTACACTCAGTGATTTGGGTATTTATACCCTTGAACATCAGCATAACCTAGCCATTGTCATAAAAGCACAATCTCTTCTCTGCCCAATTTTCTGTTGTTTATTATCAACTGATTCGTTTTAAATAGCATAATAATAACGAAGCGTCAAAGGAAAGGAATGTGCATTTTCTATCACAGCGTTTAATAATATAAATCAGGAGTATCCAAAACAAGGAAATATATGATACTTGTGAATATCTAAATTTTACAAACAATGGAAACACCTGCATGTACTAAAAATACCTGAACAAATTTCAATAATAATGTCTTTTTATAACCTCTATGTAATGTTTGGATTCTCTGCTTCCGCGCGGTTCTGGACTGTCGAGAAGTAAAAGTGTATTCGTTCGGTAAGATATTATCATTGCTATGCTTTTGAAAACAATTATTAATACTTCTAGATTTTAAAATATATTTTAATCATTTCTAAAGAAAAAAAAAGTAAATGTATCGGTGTAAAAGAAAGCTCTTAAAGATTTATTAATTGCCCATTCAATAATATATGATTTACAAAATTAGATATAAGGATATGTAATACAATGTCTTAAATTGTGTCATTTTTTCTCTTGATCGATCAAATTTAAAAGCAACATATTCTTTTTTTTTAAGTTTAAATATAAATTTGCTCATAGTTGTTTTAAAAGTATTCTCCAATGATATCTTAACATTGTAGAAAAAGATTGTTTTTATATGGAAACTTCGTGGAGCCTTTTTCATCTTTGTCTATTTGTAGTGAATGTAATTGTACAGGTAACTTTTTTGTATAGATTCTATGTCTATCTATCATAATACCTACTCTATTGCGACGCTAATCAAATCATTGCGTCTTGAATGACAAAGTTTATACTTACTAAACAAATAAAACAGAGAAACATAAAATAGTGAATGCATATGTATCATTTCATCCATAACATGTAGTAATATGTATTTGCATATTTGCAATTACATGTTTTACATGCAGATATATGGAGAGGAAATGTGTGTTGCAAGTAAAGTGAAACAGGTCAGTAGATGTCCTCGCACAAAATATGAATGGAAATCAGAGGCCCTTATAAAGAACTGTTCTAGTGGAACATTGAGACCCAGCCTGGTGTACCACTGTCTCATCAATACCTGGATGAATATGACTTTGTCTGTTTGTGCAAAGCCCAAAAGAATTATTGGTAAATATTTAATAAATTACAAGTAAAGAGATTCTAATTGCAACTAAAAAATAAAAAAGGCAGATGTTCTACAAAAACAAACCAAAAAAATAGCAAACAGGAATTCAAACTTAATCCGAACAATTTGATTTTTAAAAGTAACGGTATGAATATACTTTAATTCAAGCAATTTATGATTATTAATATGACGCTAAGCAAGTAAGAAAAAGAGAGATATGTTGAAGTAACCTGTCAATTATTTAACATTGTTCATTATAATTACAGGTTATCACTGTCCAGAGTTCAACATGGGGGGGATGTAGGATTGAACCAAACCTTTTTACATCTTGTCGAAACTTCTCTACGTCTTGCCAATTTAGATATGAATCCACGAAAGCATACAATTGTGAGTTTTAGCTTAGAGGAATGAATGGATATTTTTCCAAAGTATAATGTGACCCTTATTATTATTATTATTATCATTATTATTATTATTATTATTCGCAGCATTGTTAAGGCTTGAATAAGGGGGCGGGGCCTTATTTATACGGGAAAAGTTTACTGAGATGTCACACAAAAATATTACTTTTATGTACAGTCAAACTTGTTTTAAGAGGCCACCTTTGGGATGTCTAGAAACTGGCCACTTAAGACAGGTGGCCTCTTATTCCAGTTTGCCCTCGGAAAAGACATTCGGGCAATGAATAAAAAGCATTTAATCCCTACAGTTCAATTAATAAAATGATAAAACAGGTCAATTTAACAAAGGCTCTTTATGTGTATATATAATAATTCAAGCTCATTCATAAAACTTTTAAAGAATTAGAAGTTTTTAAGGTTTTGTGCATGTTTCCGTTCCTACATACTACAGCGTGTAGTTAAACAAGAAATACATACAGTGCCTATCTATTATCCTTTTTTATAAAGGAAAAACACAAAAATACAGTTTAATGGTAAATAAAATAAAGAATAGAAATTTAAGTATGGGTGAGAATATGTCAATAAAAATTTCACTTGCATATGTTCAAAAATGGTCAGCAGTGTACCCCCTCCCTATTCATTCATCGGCAATTAACTTACTTGCGGAAGTTTTTAAAGTTTGGTAAATTTTATTGTTTATAAAGCTATCAGAATTTCTATGTAACAAAAGACACAGAAATAAAATTAACCTGTTGACCAGAGAGGTGTATTGACGCAGTTGAAAATCATTCTATACCACAGGTGTCAAATGCAGTAGAGCGTGACTAATCCCTATCGATCGTCTGTTGATAGTGAAATTCATGAGATACTCATGCCACATGAAGCACTTTGTTTTCACAAGAGTAGCAATTAGCGCTTCTACATGGAATCAAAATTCAAAAGGTGTGGATTTCTTTAGATAGAGGAAAGCATCAATTGTATTTAAATTATTTTTATTTTGCAATCGGTGATCTTGAAAAATAATTACAAATTGATCTAACATATTTTTTTTCATAAATGCAAACAGAGTTCAGTGTATCCAATAGAAATGTGTTTAATTGCATTAATAGCTAGTTTAAATTGGCTATCGGGATATAATTACCCAAGCGATTGAGTTTAAAAGACACAATAGAATCACAGCAAGTGAAGAATCGAAATGGGCGCCTATTACAGTGTCAATAGGGCTTTGGGTTGGGAATTTGAAAGGCCGCTGGCCGCATTACACAGGTGGCCGTTTATTATAGTTAAAATATATAGTAAAAACCGTCGGTTTTTTTACTATATACTGAAAGTGGCCGCTGATCGCGAGTGGCTGTTGATTTCGGGTGGCCGTGCAAAGACAAGTTTGACTGTATTTCGCATTATACCTGAAAATGAAATAGTTTGCAAATTTTAACTGTATTTGCATAATAAACAACAATAAAACTTATCAATGCATTTAAAAAAACCTACTAGTTAAATACTATGTAGTTGGTTATAGACAGAGCATTGATCGCGATTAACTCGTAAACACGACGTCATTTTAGTAAAAATGACGTATTTCATTTGCTTGAGAAGCAGATCTAGATTGAGCAATTTTTCAACAATGAAAGATATGTTTTACTATTAAACGGAATATTATTGACAGGTTTTGAATAGTCAATAAATACCAATGCATATCCTTCGTTTAGTGCAATTATTAATTAACTATCAAGAGAATGTATTTTATTTATTATGTCGTGTTTTTAAGTACAGGTCACGTCTATTTTACATGGATATGCCTCATAAAATCGCACTCTCGCAAGGGCATACGCTTTATAGATCTTAACCATTTTTTGATTATTGATAATGGATATTTTTCTTACCTTGAAAAGTGCTGCTGATTTATTTAAATCGAGGCCGTGATTTTATAAGTACACAAAATATTTGGTAAAAGTCAAACATATTTCGACATTGGATTATTTAACCGAAATTTTATCGTTTAAAACGCGAATTTTATTCAAAGCTGCAGTTCTTTTCAGAAACTACAAAGTATGCAGAAACAAATATTAACTTGAATTTTTAATTTCAGCCAGGGTATGTCCTTGCGATATTGAAATTTGTTTATGACCTAGATTCATTACACGTACTATGCATTCATCAGGTGACTGTCCATCGATGGGACCAAACTTTATACAATTTCAGACTGGGTTATACTATGCTATTTCCATAAGTATTATAAGACAGCTTTATTAAAATAAATTCAGTTTTAAAAAGGTCTCCATTTTCTGCAGGTCTATTTTCCGTTGATTTCTCATAGTAGGCCTTAACAGTGCTGCGTTATTATTATTTTACACTGTAGTTATTGGAATTACAGCAGAAAACAGTTTATTGTTACTGTTCTTAGATATTCAGATATATCAGTCGTGAAATCAGTTATATCAAGAATTTTGAAGGAGTATATCTAAGACTAGTACTTACAAATAATGGCTCAACACGGGTAAGAAAAATAGGGGAACATTGTACATCTTATATTATTAAGCTGCAATGTGATTAATCTGACATTTTTGCACTTAAACTGTAATTCTTTGGATTATCACTTGAAATTTTATCCTATTTCATTACTAGACAACATTTATAATATTAACATATATGATTTCTTGTATGAGACATTATTGTATGACCTGTCCGCACCAAGACAGCATCATGCACTGTATATAGGTATAAGAAAAACTTAATAAGCAATAAAATATTTTCTTATATCGTTTTTTTAAATATAAATTGATTGCCGAGCGGTTGAAAGTATCGTGTTGGTAAAAATAATGAAAGATGAATTCATTGATAGTTTCTTAATGTCCCTCTCGTGAATTTATCCCTCATATGAGGACGCCGTCACATGAGTGGAAAGCTGCAAATTTTTACCTATGCTTAGCACTCAGGGCCATTAAGCAGTGACAGATCTTTCTTTCGTATCAGCGCCTACTGCGACATTGGACCTCGGTTTATATGGTCTCTTTCGAAGTATGTGATTCTCCACGACCAAAATACGATTATGTCAAACTTTCTTCGAAATCAAAATATATTGAAAAGTATGGATATATATAATTTAAAATAGTCCTTTCGTAATAAATAGTTACGTAGAATGTTGGTAAGATTGGCTCTGAGGTATCATTTTTGTCCTCGTCTGCATGGCTGGGTGTGCAAAATACATAAGATATTCCTAGACTCAACGTTGCATCATAATGTTTATTTTCTTCAACTTAATACATTTTTATAAAATTATCTGGTAGTTCAATGCATTCTACATTCTATTAAGACTTTTTAAATAGCAAATATATGGTTACAATATGGAGTCAATTTTAACTTATATTTTCCTGATATTAGCCTCATGATTTTATAAAATTCTATAAAATCATGCAACAAAAAAGTAAATACATGTATTAATTTTTTTATCCTCTTTGCCCACCATCCACAAGAAAAAAAACAAAACGTATAATTCAACATCGTAATGTTGGGATACCGAATACCACTTATACCAGATATGCATCAGTTCAAATTCAATCCTGATTTTACACGCCAATTCATGGGAAAAAAAACGGTAAAATACAAAATTTGCTGCTACTGTCTTTTACTGAATCTCTCTATAAAACATTAAATATTACTCCTACATGTATAACACCAAAGATGTGTGTTCTTCTTTCGTTTTTACATAGTACAGGAATGCTATGCATTGGTTCCGAAGCCAATTGGGGGAAGACAAACAATATTCAGAAAAACAACCAGTGGCATAATCAGCAAAAGCAACGGGGAAATGTAAGTTTTATTCTTTGTAAAAAAAATAATTTGAGATTCTTTGAAACATAACCTTAAATAAAAATTTCTGTTATTCTTATTGAAAAACTTATATGACATATTTAAGTGGTTTATATATATAAACGTTTGCTAAATGTGATCAAAGAAGAATAATTATCGTAATTTATCGAATCTTTTTAGTTTAATCTACCTGCAGTACTGGGTAATTCAATTGTTTTTTAAAAACAAAATAAACTAGTGCTAATTGTAACGGGGACCGTTACAGATGTTCCCCAAACGCTCCCCAACTCCCTTTTGGTGCCATATTCCCTGTAATCTCTATTAAATAAGTAATACTTTATGGAATTAAGACTTAATCAAGGTCTTCCCAGAAAAAAACAAAATATATTTTAAAATAGGCATTGCACGCGTGTTCATGTGCGTAACGACCATATTATCTTGTCTACACTAGCTAAAATTTTAATATACTTAATATCAAAACATTTAATCCAAAAGTATTAAAAAATACACTCATTCAAGTGTTTTTTTTTTTTTTTAATTTTACTCATTTTACGTGCATGCACGTGCAAGCACTTGCATTATGACTACACCTTCTTGTAGGAGTCCCTTATATTTATTTATGTTCTAAATGCCATCCTGTTTGGTTGAAAAACAAGGGAGTTATAGCCATTTGAAGTTTCAGCCAATCAGATTGCGGCACACATGCATGCGCGTGATTTCATAAATTTTTATCTTTATCGTATTGAAGGATATCTAAATGAATGACTATATTTTAAAATTCCAAACATTTCATCAAAAAACAAAGGAGATATAGCCATATAAAGTTTCATCCAATCAGATTGCAGCACACGTGCATGCCCGTGATTTCATGAATTTTTTTCTACATCATATTTTAGGATATCCTAATGCATGACTATGTTTTAAATTTCAAAGCATTTCGTCAAAGAACAAAGGAGATATAGCAATTTAAAGTTTCAGCCAATCAGATTGCAGCACGCGAGCATGCGCATGCTTTTATGAATTTTTTTTTATATCATGCTGTAGATCTTCATAATGTAGAACTATGTTCAAAATTTCAAAAGATTATGACTAGAAACAAGAAAGATATTGAGACTTTAGTTTCAGCCAATCAGAGCGAAGCGCACGTGCATGCGCGTGAGATCTTGCTATTTTGACCATGCCATCTTGTCTATACTACGAATGTATCCTTACATTATGAGTTTAAAAAGAATTCATCAAAACAAAGAAAAGTTACAGCAATATCCATTATATTGGTCATTTCACGTGTTGCACGTGCGCGCTCTTCCAAGCACGTGCGCGCAAAATGACCTTCGTTCGGCAAATCTACATAACATGTCTACTGACCCTAAAAACATTTTACCTTAGTCGGATGTGTAGTTTACAAGATCACTCGTGGACAAAATTTTCCCAGGAAGAATAATAATAACTAGAGCAAAGCTCGTTGCAAAGCAACGAGTAGGTCTTCCGTCCTGTTTTGACCGGAAGTGACGTCAACAAAAAGAAAGCAATAAGCTAAGTTGTCTCCAGTGACTTTATAATTTCAATTTTGAGTCAAAACCTTCAAAATAAGCTTTTTGGCTACTTCTGGTTTGACCAAAAGTGATGTGAATTGACAAAAAATTAAGTTTAATGCCTTCAGTGATATATGTTACCCAAAACCTTGTCAAGAATGACAAAAATATGCACTTTCTGATGACTTTCGGTTTGACCGGAAGCAACGTCCCCAGACGCATTTTGACGAATTCAATAGATTAAGCTTGACATTTTGAACAACTTTGCTTCTTTGACGTATTACAAATTCAAATTTTTTTTCAGATATTAAGGAAAAAATTTTGGTCCCTCTAAGTCCTTAATTATAGGGGCAAGCCCTTTATAGTTGATATCCTTTGAAAGATCGTGATATTCTTCACGACTTTTGTTCTTAATGTCTTTACAAAATATTAACATGTAAAAAGATATTGCAGAAAAGGTGTGAACATTTTCTAAATCCCGATGCAATTTTTTACAAGCCATAGCGAGCGCCGACGTGCTGCACTTCCGGAGAAAGAGAGAGGTATGTGTCACATCAGCACATGTAGCTCTATCATCACTGAAAATATTATGTTTCTGTCTACAAGTAATTTTGAGAAAAATGCTGATCAATGTGACCCTATGAAAATCACTAAATCACAGAAATCTACACTAAAGAATGCTCTGTGCTTAGTTTAACTTAACTTTGTCCAGTTGTTCTGAGAAGGAAATGAAATTCTGAAGAATTTAAGATAAAGATGATAATGGGTGAATTTTCAAAATTTTACTACAGCTTAAGCTCATATGAGCTGAACTGTAAACAGCTTTTGTGCTTTGTTGACTTTGAAATGTGACTGGACATCTCTTTGATCTTGTGTTTGAAATAACATGTCCTTTGTTCTGAATCATGCACATTTGTTAATGCTTTAGTTGTTTATGCCAAGATAGCAATGTTCCTTCAATTATACTGTAAAAATACACATATTAGATCTTATATATTGCCACTGAAGACAGACCTCTATCATCTTTACCATTAGAATTGGTATGTCTTCCCTTGGAAGCGGAAGACCTCAATACAGATGTAAACATGCAAGATCTGACAAATATTTAAAAGAACATTTATTCCAAATTAAACATATTAGATTTTGCAACAAAATCTATTTATCTTGAAAAACTGAAAGCAATTGATATAATCATATTTTTGGATTTATGTCTGTTTCTCAAATCAAAATTTAAATATGATATATTTAAAATCATCTTCTTAAACTGAGACTTGATTCAGTTGATTGTTTCAATTTCATTCTGCTGTTTATTCTTTGTCATCTCCCAAAAGAGGCTCTTCTGGCAAATCATGATCATGCTTGGCATCAAATTTCAGTACTCAGATGACAGTCACACCTATCAAAAGAAATTGATTTTTTTTAAAGTACAACTTATCAGATAAGATAAACCATCAAACTTAGTTATAAGATATTGTTATACCTTTAAAAAATTGTTCCTATACAAATCTATACAGAAAAAAGTCTAACATTTTTAATGTTTTGCTGAGCGGGCATAAAAAAATCGATGTTGGACCACTCGGAGAGATGTTGGACTGCTTACGTCACAGAATGGGCGGAGCTTAATCTCATTTTCATTCTTTGGTTTTAAACAATGACAGATCTAATGTTACATTACGGAATATAGTACAAAATACATGTATGTCAAAAAATATATAATAAAATGAAAGGTATAACAAAACATTTATTGACAGAGTTCTCGGGCAAAATGTGTTTTGTCGGACCCTCGAACCAAACTGTCTGCCTTCAGCCTAACGGCCTCGGGCAGACAGTTTGGTTCTTTGGTCCGACAAAACGCATGTTGCCCACGAACTCAGTCAATAAATGTATACTGTCACGTTTCTGCATGTGTATTATTTGTAAAACTACTCTATAATCATTTATAAATTTATGTTTACAGGCAGTCATTTGAGGATGTAATAAATAACATATTAGTTTTTCATGATTTCAAATAAAGGGTATGTTACATAACTTGTTCATGTCAAAATTTATTAGGAATGGTGATGGTTAACAGTTGTTAACCGACTAATCAGTCAGAAAGATGGTATCTGGTTATGATTTTTTATGTGTCAGGATAAGGCCATTCATAAAGGTGTTACAGCACATTAGGAACAATGCACTTATGAAGTGACAAAACAGCATGGCATAAGAAACAATGAGCTAGCGCAAAGTAACAATGCTGCTCTAGCTCATTTAAAACACCATGCTACTAAGTTTATGACAGCATGCTAATTGTTTAAGACACTTACATGCTAGCGTGAAGTAAAAATGTGCTATCACGCTTATGAGAATGGGCTAGTGTGCTTATGACAACACGGTGACAATGTACTTAGTGCGTTTGTAACTAAGTTTCAGCAGGCTGTTTACACTACGCCCTCAAGCTTACACATATTAAATAGATTGTGTAAAGTTGTATTAGGCCATTCCAAGTTTTTTCTCTGTTTAGCGTCCACCCATCTTTCAAAAACCTACCAATCTTTTCGCAAAAAAAACAACAACACAGAAGCCAAAACATAAAACACAGGATTAAAATGATTTTCAATGATTTGATCTAACTAAACTACTTTAATAGAAGAAATGTCTATTCTTAAGCAAAAACAAGGGAATAAATGTTTACAATACACCAAATATAACTTACTGTACAGAATTATTTGGAGAAATTGACAAATTCAACAATTTTGCCTAAATTAATCAATTTCAGGACTCCTGATGTTGTGTGTTTTTTCTAACATGGGGTGTCAAAAACCAAGGTGCACACGGACGCTAAACATAGAAAAAACTTGGAATGGCCTTAGCATGGCAGCATGTTGAGCATCAGCACAACTGCATGTTGTTCTAAGTTGCCTTAGCCTAACAGTGTTGAGAACACTGTGTTAGCACATTGTTCCTAACACACACTTTAACAAATTGCCTTATCAGGACACCATTTAGTTTTCCATATATATTTTAAAAAGACTGGGAATAAAATTCAATTTTCGATAAGCTTCTTTTCATTATAGGTGTTTGCCTAAGCGTTTTTTTTTTTTTCTATATAACCCAAATACATCATTGTCTGTTATGGTAGCCTAGTGGTAGGGCAATCGCTATGTATAATCATGAAGCTGGGCTTGATTTTAATTCACTGCATCAAACCTAAGACAAAAACATGTACGCAGTTATGTTTCCTAACCATGCACCCAACATTTGTAGTGAATTAGACCCTAAAAACCTTACAGTAGATGTTAGGATAATGACCCTTAGTTCCAAGTAAAGGTCCATATTGCATGTATTGAAGCTATTCACCAGTATAAATTAAATGAGTGAATGAGTGAGATTCTCATGATAACATTATCAATCAAAGTATCAATAAGAAGCTGATACTTACTGCTAAATGCTAGAGACAGGTTACTCCAAAGAGACTGTATAAACCGA